GGAGAAGGGATTGTGGTGTGGCCATTCCCCCTGGGGGGTGATTTCTCGCTTTCTATCTCTCTGTCTCTCTCTCTGGTGAGCGCACGTGCCCTATAGCAAAAACCTCTTCAAAAGAAAAAAAAATCATATTGCATGGAAGAGTTACCAGAAAAGTTTCTAATCATGGAGAACAGATGATCCATGAGGTACATGATTGTTGTTCCAAGTATTTGGAGAGTGCTCATGTAGATAACAGAAGACCACTGAGGGGCACTTCGAGTGAGAGGCTTGGTGGAATCAGTCCCCCAAAAGATTCTATTTTCTTCTTCCCTTCTAAAGTCTCTAAAACCTCTTTCCCCATTCTCACTCTCAGCTAGTGGACATTTTTGCTATTTCACTGAGAATCTGGAGCCAAGCAACAGATAATTTTCAACCTCTCTACATATATACCAATAATCTATATTCTAACCTACAAAGGATTAGCTGTCTTCAGAGTTCTTACACAACACCAAAATTTCCACCTAACCAATAGGCCTTTCTTTCATCTAGTAAAAGAAGTTATAAAAAATTAAAAAAAAAAAAACCTTTAGCCAAAGTTTTCCCATACTATTCCACCAAAAACAATCTTATCAAAGTGATCAACAATACCTTACGGCTAACTCCAATGGTGAATTTTCAGTACTCATTTTATTTTACTTCTCAGTAACATTTGATAGTGTTGACCATTTTTTTCTCCTTGAAATATTTTGTTCATTTTCCATCAGGACACCATTCACCTAGTTTTCTTCCTTTCTATCTGCTCTTATTTTTCTTTGAAGATTCCTTCTAATCTCTTCCATTTCTAAACATTAAGTACCTAGGAGTCAATCCAAGAATAGTTTTACTTTATCTATACTCTTTTACTGTACAAACTTATCCCATTTTAGGATTTTAAATTTCTGTGATGACTCTAAGGTTTTATTTGTGGCCTGAAAAAACTGCCCTTGAATGCCAGAGTTTTTTGTTTTGTTTTAGAGAGATTTTTGCTATAGGATACATGCACTTGCTGGAGAGACAGGCAGAAAGCGAGAAATTACCCACCAGGGAGGATGGCTATGCCACAATCCCTTCTCCTCCATTTTTGTCTCACGCTCTGGATTGTGGGCATGCATGCACATGCACTTTGGGTGAGTTTCAAGCTGCCAGGTCTGGGACTCAAAGTGCAGTCAGCCATGTGGGAATCCAGTGACATAACCATTGAGATATCTGCTGGTCCTAATGTCAGGCTTTTATAGCCAACTCCCAACCAAACGTCTCCATGTAGAGGTCTCATTTTGTACTTAAAGTTAACTTTCCAAAACTGAACCCATGATACTGCACAATCACTCTTGCACTAAAACTGCCCTATCCATAATTTTCCACAGTATAGTTCATAGACACCTTCTCTTTTAGAAGGCCAAAAAACATGTAACCTTGTGATCATTCTCTCTCCCTCTTTTTCTTCTCTTTTTACTCTAGCTCTCTCGCTCTCTCTCCAGTCCATCAATCTTCTTGACTCCATATTTAAAACATATTTAGGATGACTTCTTACTACTTTTAGTCCTTCACTTCCAAGTTGCCATATCCTCTTACCCAAAGTATTCACGATCTTTTTAAACCTCTACCCTTGTTCCTTTCAATATGTTCTCAGTATAGCAGCTAAAGTAGTCGCTACAAAAATATTTTATTGACATATAAAAATTATCCATTTATTGATTTATCCTGTACAATATGATATTTTAAAATTGAGACATAGCATGAAATAACTAAAATAGACTAATTAACATAACATCATTCATTCATTTGTTGAATGAACACTGAATAACTGGTAGCACAGATAGATAATCCAGACTTACAAGAGAGATAATTATGTCATTTTAATATCTACAACCTGATGCATTTGCAGATGAGTATACAAACCTGAAATCATCACTATAGATGCCGTAAGATTATCCATCACCTCCAAAAAATTTTTTTTTCTATTGGTTAGATCATTTAACATAAGATCTACCCACTTAGCAATTCTCTATGTAAACAATAGAATTTGTTCATCATAAATCCTCTGTAGTACAGTAGCTCTCCAGAATTTACTTTGCTTTATGGAAACTATAACTTTTGATCAACACCTACCATCTTTTTCTTGCCTAGTCCCCTAGTAATCACCATTCTATGCTCTGCTTCTATGAGTTTGACTATTTTAGATACCAGACATAAGTGAGATAATGTAGTGTTTTGCTTTCTGTGTTTTGCTTATTTCTGTAGGTTTTTATAGGTTAATCATAGCTCAGTAAGTGTATTTTAAAAAGAAGCATGAGGCCAGCAGCTGGTGTAGTGGTTATATGCTGCACTAGCCAACAGTGATTAGCGTCCCAGACCCAGTGGCTTGAAACTAATACAAGGTACCTGTGTGTGCACGCCCAAGACCCAGAAGAATGGAGGTGAGGGGTTGTGGTGTGGCCATGCCCTCTGGGATATGGTTTCTCACTATCCCTCTCACTGTCTATGTTTCTCTCTCCTTGGCAAGTGCACTTGCCTCAAAGTAAAAACCTCTTTTAAAAAATACAAAACAAAAAATGAAGCATGATATCATTGTTGACATCTTAAAATAAGAAATAATGAGCATAACTTCATTTTATGAATGAACTACTTGTGTTCTAGAACTTGCAATTAATCTGTTCCATGCCATGTAGCTAGCAACTGATAGCAAAGAAAACTAATGGGAAATTGTTTTTCCCCCCATAGGTTTTTGCCATAGAATGTGTGTGCTTGCCAGACAGAGAGAGAGAAAGAAAACAAGAAATCACTCCCCAATGGGGATGGCCTCACCACAGTCCTTTGTCCTCCACTCTCCTCTTAGGATTCTGGGCAGACACACATATTTGCCTGGCATGACTATTCGAATTGTGGTCATTCGTGGGTAATCCAGTGCCTTCCCCACTATGCCACTGCTGGTCCCCTAGCTCTTTTCAATAAACCACCCTTAACTTGAAGCTTAGATTTATGTAAAATCTTGTGAGAAATAGTTAATTTATGTAACTCTTCACTAATATTTAAAATGTAAGCAAAAGAAGACTCATTTTGTATTATTTCAATGTGTTGCTTATAGTAAGCACATGTGCTTTTTAAGCCTATGCAAAAATTTTAAGTATTCTCTGTCTACGTTTCCTAAGAAAGAGAAAACCCTAGCCTAAAAGAAATGTCATGCTTTATTTATTTTATATATGAAGTAGATAGAGCATTTGAAAAACATTCTCCCTTGTTTCCATTAGCAGATAGGTAGAAACTAAATCCCAGGCAGTTCCTTTTACTAGAGGTTTTAGATCTGATCACAGGAAGGTGAGCTAATGAGGCCCAAGGTGATGATGATTCAGCAGCTGAACCATAATCAGAACCTTAAAACCCCTGAACTGGAGAGCAGTGTACTCACTTTCTTCTGTGGTGACAAGGGAGTGACCTGGACTTTGGCTTATAAACCCCTTATCCATTGGGACCAAGCAAAGTGCTCATGCAACTGCAGTCTTTGGTTAGATGAACCCTGGTGGGGCAGGGAACACATCTTAGTTCTCATGTGGTAGTTCCTCTCCTTAGGATCAAAGTATATTCTAATGTTTTGAAATGGAAAGAAAAATCAAATTTTTTCCCTGGGGAATTCAGCATGCTTAACATCAGGGATCTCACATCCTGGATATTGCCTCCAAAGACTTCTTAGGATTTTGCCAGCCACCTGGCCTCCACTCCAGCCTTTACTAACACCCAGTGAAAATGAAAGAATCTTGTCTCAACCTATACTATCCCTGCTGCTCTCAGTGACTACCTCTGGCTTTGCTCCCTTTCCTTTTAGGCTTTGTTTTGTTTGTTTGTTTTTAACTCGAGTGGAAAATTTTCTCAAAAAAGGATACAGCATGGGCTTCTCACATCACTATGCACAGTGCATGTTTTAGAGAGATGTGGCTTATGATGCGTCTGCTTAAACAAAGCTGGGAAAACCAAAGGTGTGTATGTGAATTATGGAACATAAGGTGAAAATATTGATGAAAAATCCAGCCACCTGATGACTCTGAAATGTGTTTTTTAAAGAATTATTTTATTTGACTTCACTTGTTTATTTTAATTTGACCAGAGAGGGACAGAGTGAGAGAGAGGGGGGATATTAGAAAGTAAGCTGCCAGGTCTGAGACTCAAACTGCAGTTGGCCATGTGGAAGTCCAGCACCCTTAACCACCACGCCACCTGCTGGACCCTACTCTGAAATGTATTTAAATATAGCATCCATGACCCATATTTCCAAGGAATTTAAAACAGTGGTTTCCATTGACCGCACAATCCAAATTCCAAAGAATCACATACTGGAGTGTTCTTTTACGGACTTGACACCAGAAAGGAAGAGAGGAGGGACCAAAATAGTTCAGAATGATATGTAAATAACTTAGGAATGTGGGGTGTGTGTGTGTGTGTGTGTGTGTGTGTGTGTGCAGAATCTTGTTGGCCTCAGGGAAATACAAATACTTAGGGTCTGCCAAGGTATATGGTTTCTTCTACATTACTCTATCATATTGGGAAATCTTTTTGCCTCCCCCAACATTCAAGACACAAAGGGCTTAAGCCTTAAGTTTGCCAACAAAAACTACCGTTTTCAATCTCACTCCTGTGGGGATCAGCTCCACACCACTTGTCAAAGTAGCTTCCCACAGCCATTGCTCATCAAATGTCCTTTCTCTTTGTAATATGACTGGATCACAGCTATAGAAGCCAACATTTTCTAACTGGGGTTTTCTGTTTTTGCTAGAGGGGAAAAGGGCAACACAACAAGGATAGGTTCCCTAAACAATTCTGAAGTGTCAGTCTGCACTGGTTACAAAATCTTAGCATTCTTCAGCTGTGTTGGTGCAACCTTGGAATTGTATGCAAACCCCTTTTGGCCTTTGTCCAATTTTAACTTTATCTTGTTGGAGGTGGGTGCTCTGTTATAACACATGTTCCCCATTTCCTCTTCTGTCCCCTCTTTGATGAATATCCTAAAACTATTTGCCTTTTATATTTACCTCTTGTATACAGTACTGGATTTTTGAGATTGTTTTTTTGTTTTCTGAGCTCAACTTTTTAGAATCTTTTTCTTCTGAAATTGGATTTCATGCTGTGTCTGATTGCTGGATGTTTTAGGAGCAATCGAGGTAGAATGAGAAGTATGGATGTCTCTGGAGGAAAAAAATTAAAATAAAGAAAGTTATACTTTCCAAATATACAAACCCTCCATCCTCTATCTTTGTTCTGGTCAATTTTTTCCAAAAAGTTGGTCCTTGATATCTTTAACTTTCTCTTTACTATAATTTAATGTATAATTTCTTGATTCATTCATTTATAGAACTTGATTATAGTCAAATTCATTATTATTTTCTCCTATGATCCTGCTGCCTGGAGCAATCTTATTTTTTCAACCTATTGTATTTAATTTTCTTAACTTTACTTATTTATTTAACCCATGCATGAGAAAGACAGAGACAGAAACAGAGAGACTGATACATACAGCACCCATGAACAGCACCTCTATGCTATGATCCTCCAAGCTTCAACCAGCCTGTATAATGGATACACACATGCCCAATGCACTCCAGGTAATTTCTGGAAGAGATCCGACAGTCTTCTCGGTAGATCTGCCTCTCAGAATATCACATTTTACCACTGTACCGCCTTCTGGCCCCTCCTGCATTTAATTTTTTAAAAATCTTTTCTTTTTCCCCTGGAGATGGCCCACACCACTACACGAATAAACAACTGTTCACCCTTTTCTTTTTTTATTAATTCCATTTGACACATTTCATTGTCTAGTAGATAGCTCTATCTTGGGTTCCTACAGAAATCTCTTAACTTGGCATGTCCAGAACTGAACTCATTATACTACCCTCTGTTCCCTAATCCAGTGGTTAGTATGACCATCCATAAACCTCTTAATTAGAAACCAATATACCACTGTCCCTTATCCTTGTGCTCCATCAAATCCAGATACTAGGAGAGCTACTTCCTCAACCTTCCTCATAGTTGACACTCCACTCCATCCTTACTAAGTTAAGGTTTTTCTTACCATTCGCTCAATTACTGTGACCACTTAACTGGTCTCTGTGGAATTTCTTGTTTGTTTGTTTGTTGTGGTTTTTAGGGTTTTGCCAGAGGGTGCATATGCTCACTGGAGAGAGACAGTGAGAGAGAAAGTAAGAAATCATCCCCCAGGGAGGTGGCTATAGCACAATCCCTTCTCTTCCCCACTCCTCCTGGGATTTTGGGCATGCAGGTCATGTAAACGGTATGATTTTCAAGCCTCCAGGTCCAGGACTGTAATGGAAGTTGGCCATGTGGGAGTCCAGAGTCTTAACTACCATGCCACCTGCTGGATGCCTGGTCTGTGTTTACAATTCCGCCCCACGTGCTCTATGTATTAGCCAGAATGATATTTTCTTAAGCACTAACTTGACTATGCCACTTTACAGTTTAAAATACTTCACTGAAGAATTCCTTATTGTCTTCAAGTAAATTTCAAATGACTCTTTTATTAAGCATAGGCCTATCTATCTCTTTGGCCTTATTGCTTCACATAAACACCCTCTGCTACAAATATACCAAATCTCTTTCAACGTTTCACCCTTGGCATGCTCTCTCACCCAAAGTTGTTAATGGTTTCATATACACAGCTTCTTTTGCCTTGGGATACTCTCCAGGTGCACCGACATTGCCACCCCATTAATCCCTGAATACCTACTTGCTCAATGCATTTGTTAAATGATTAATGAGTCCCTACTCCCGGTCAAGCACTGGGCTAAGCTCTTGGGATAAAGGATCAGACACTGCCATGTTGCTTCACGGGTCACAGTGCAAAAAAAGAATAAGAGAAGAGCATAAGTAGTCAAAATGTAGGGTAAACTGGAAAAAAAATAAAACGGATAAAGGAAAGTTTTATAGTGGATGAAAAAAATAGGCTTTTTAAATAAACAAAGCCAAGAGGCACAGAGAGATAGAAACTGGATATCAAAGGTTCCACAAATTTGAATAAAGGTTGCTCTTACATGACTGGGATGAGAATATTCTTGCTAAAGTAGTGACAGAGACTATTGATCCATCACAGTGTTAGCAGCTGTAGCAAGGACTATGGTTAAAGTTTTGTTTTGTTTTATCAACTACAAAATTAGAGTTAGACCAGAACTTGAAGTTTATCTGTGTTATTCTCCAACAAATGTTTTCATCTCAATAAAATTCCCAACTTGTGTGAAAGAGTAGAGTCTGAGGAAGGACATTTAGAAGAAAAATAGGGAGGCAAAGCATTAATGGGACAAAGAACTGTGGTCTTATCTGTTGAAGATAACTTTTATAGTTTTATCAACTAGATTAGGGAGAAATGTTCACATGTTGAAATATTCAGTTTGTAAGCTAAATAATATGATTGAATGTAAAAGAGAAAATGAAATTTAAAAAATGTTTTAAAAAATTTCCAATATGTGATCCTCTATTTTCTTTTTTTTATTGAAATTTATTTATTTACATTCATTCACTATACATCATTACGGCATACAAAATGAGATTTCCCATCCAGAATACACTGTATATTGGCTCAATCAAGCACATCAAGATACATGTTATCAACAAATAATTTTCCATTTCTTATTTCCTGTATATTTTGCTTTTTTTTTTTTTTTTTTTGTCGCCCCTTTTTTTTCTTTTCCCCCCACCCCTTTCCCTTTGATTCCTTATCCCTCACCCTCTGCCATTTCTCACCTTCCTCCCACATTGTCTCTGGTATCCATTGTTGCTTTCTATGCCTTATCCCCCATTTAATTGATTCACTAATGAACTTAATTAGTCTAAATATTTCCAATAGCAAGCACAGCTGACATGTACATATACATGAACACAAGTCTGACTTTAGGCATAAACCTCAGTGAATAGAATGAACATACTATAAAGTAGCACCTAGCTGGGGCTATATAGCTTTCTGCAGTCATCAAATACACGTTTTTTTATTTTGATAAAAACAGTTTTTGTGGGGTTTTTTTTCTCCTGAAATTTTATTTTCTGCTTGAGTATCTCCTATGGTGAGGCTCCATCTCTAACTTAAAAGAAACCAAGAGTCCTAGACTTAGAATCAAAACTGGGCTGGACTGAGGTGTATATCATACTGAGTAAAGTGTCTTCACAATCTAAATGAGGTATAGTGATTTAATGTATGAATAAAAAATTAAAAATAAAAACAATCAAATGGTACATGTTTTAATCATGCTTTCAACATATGTTAATCATGAAAATGCAGTCACTTCAGTATATTAGAAATGAACCTATGTTACAGATCTTCTATTGAGAGGCAAAGGTATAAAGTATGCAAAAATTCTTAGCACCATGTATGACACACAGTAGGTACACAATGAACAGTAGTCCTTTGAACCATTCGATAGTCTCTCCTCAAAATAACTGGTTAAAGGGACCAGCAGTTAGCGTAATGGCTATGTCACCGGACTCCCATGTAGTCGACTACAGTTTGAGTCCCGGACCCAGTGGCTTAAACTCACACCAGGTGCTTATGTGTATGTGCCCAAGATCCTGAGAGGAGAATGGAGGAGAAGGGATTGTGTCATGGCCATCTTCCCTGGGGGGTGATTTCTCACTTTTTGTCTCTCTGTCTCTGTTTTTCTGGAGAGCAAACATGCCCTATCACAAAAACCACTCCAAAATAATAATAATAATAATAATAATAACCCGTTAAGACTTTACCCAGGACAAGCAGATGGTGTAATGGTTATTTCAGTGGACTCCCACGTAGTCAACTACAGTTCATGGACCCAGTGGCTTAAAACTCATGCCGGGCTCATGTGCATGCATGCCCACGATACTGACAGGAGAATGGAGAAGGGCTTGTGGCATAGCCATCCCCTCGGGGGGATGATTTCTTACTTTCGGTCTCTCTGTCTCTCCAGAAAGCACATGAACCCTGTAGCAATTATCTGTCTCTTAAAAAAAAAAAAAAAAGACTTTACCCTTGCATAGCATTTCTGTTTTCATATGTGGCTAGTAGCTATAAAGTTTGCCATCTTGCTTATTAAATCTAACTAACACCTCCCCTAGAGATGCATAATCGACTGATTTTGGCATGTGAAATAAAATACAGCAAATGTTATTGCTATGATTATTCAGCTGCCAGGATGTTTTACAGTGGTACTCAGATGATGGGTCACATAGAAAGCTCTGGGGTAAATAAAAATGAGTTTTTGCAAACTTATAAATGGTTCATTTAACCTTATTCTTTAGATGGAGAAAAGAAAACCTTTACCTTTCTCCCTCTTGAAAGAATGAATGTTAAAATTTCTCTGCCAAATTTTAGATTTGGCAACTCAGAAAGTGTTTTTTGTTTCTATATTTTACTTTATTTTATAATATATATTTTTTCTTATCCTTGGATGCATTTAGATACATAAGAACATAAAAATATTGGCATATGTTTTACTGTCTTTTATCGATCTTTACCCTTACTAGAATGTTAGTCTTATAAAGATGGCAATCTGAACAGTGGTTTGACTAGAGTAGTTGCCTAAAAATATACTTAATAAAATAATTATTGTAAAATATACCTGATATTCCTATTGCAAAAGGTCCCTGCACAGTTGGAAAACATGTTCTTGGAATATTTTGCATCAGCCACGGGAATCAAACTGTTCTCTCAGATTAATCTTCATTATTATGCTTTTGGCCAATAAATATTAACTGAAGGAGTTATTTAATAAAGCACTCTTCATTCTAAGAATGTTTTTGCATGGCCTGGAGGATTGAAATAGAAGACAAGTGCTCAGACATACAGACATACATGTATGAGGCTGACATCATGTATAGTACAAAAGCAAAATAAGAATTGACATGTCCAAAATGGGGGCTCACAGTTAAGCTATAAATTGATGATAAGTGATGATATAAAGAGAATCACTGACATACTGACATTGAAGAATGCTAGAAACACATTTTGATTGAGAAAAGATATTTGTACAAAGACATATCACACTTTTTGTCTTGATATTATGGAATTCAGATAGTCTTGTATCTTTTCCTTTGACTTTCTTATATGATATTGATTTAAAAAGGCTTTTTTGTTTTAATCAGGAGAAGAATTTTCTGTCTTTTAAACTTATCATAAATGTGTTTGCAATTGGCACTGCTCCACAGCAATTTCCCACAAAACACTTTATTGACCTATACCTTGTTAGAGCAATTCACTTGGCCAAGATCATTGTAATAACTTCTGAATGTTTAGCTATTAATATCAGTTTTATTAGGTGTGTATAGTGTACTTCTCTTTGGAAAACACAGTTTAAGCACATTTATGG